TTTGGTTAGTAAGTGGTTTGACAGCCTCTACACGACTGCCCAACTTCTAAGACTGGCCAGCTGAGGATGCTGCTTTACAGTGATTCAGTTTTGATCTGTCAAGGCACTTTTAAGAGAGGTGATGTCATCCTTGTTGTACCCAGTGAAAGAAATTCTATGGAGCGGTTGTGAAATTTTCACTTTCAAAAATCCGTTGAATGCTTTGGTTCAGAAAATTCAGCATACCCTTAATTTTTCACCAAATAATAAAGCAATAGTACCTCGAGCTTATGGATGCCATTATGGGAAATTTCATAGACCAAATTCAGATGAGACAGGATGACTAGTTTTAGAAAATTGCATGGTGAAGATAATAAATTTCCTATGCATGCATAAGTCCATTGCAAAGAGGTAGTGTTAAGTTTCCAATAGACCTACTCAAAGTTCCAAAGTGAGGACTAAGAATACCACTTAGCTGAGCAAAGCCAACCTCAAAAATATTAACCAAGATGAAAAAGCATGGAACAGAATTATTAGCAAGATCAAGGCTTTGGGCATAGGCGTAAAGATCAAGACTACGGAAACATCGGTAACAGTGACACCAAGTTCTGATATCATCCTGCACGATACAAAGCTCCAATGCTTGGTATTTTAACAAGGACGTGAGACATCCCACATATTACCAGATTACACATCCCACTTCCTGGGGAGCGGGGAAAAAGTGTCAATTTATTGTACTATATTTTTTGTGACCATCTAGAAGGCCATCTACTAAGAATACATTAGCATTGTGTTTTGAAAATAACTGTTTATTTTGTGAAGACCTCAATTTAAAGTTAGTGTGTGTAACGTAATAGTTAACATCCAGGATATTTTAATAAATGACAGATTAGAAAGAGAACGTCATCATTTACAATGAACAAAAATATTTTATTGATACATATACAGAGAGGAATAACGGAGGTATCTGGATAATCAAATATGGAATGTTTACAAGAGTTAAAATAAATAATAAAGATACCCAGATGTGTCAGTGCTAAATCTAGCACCACTAAATGGAAATGCCCTCTTTTGAACAGCTCTGACTCTGATGGGGCTCTCCCAACACAGGCTGTACAGGCTGCTACCACAAGAAAGTGGTCGGTATTTCTGGAATACAAAGAGTCATTATAGTGCTTTCTACAGTTTTGCATTCTAAATGTTTATTCGCTACTTTCGTCCCTTATTTCTTTAATAATAAGTATTAAATTTTGAAGTCCAAAAACATAACCCGTATCTTGGCCCTCATGCACCACGCTATCTTCTCCGTAATACCGGCATGTAGTGTGGGCAAAGTCTATCATTCGAACATCAACGGAACTAATTGTAGGCTTGTAGGCATATGCACATGCGGATTCATCCGATGATTCTTCTGAAAGACCTTCAATGTCTTCTGGGTCCGAGTCCTCCACCACATCTTGTAATTCCTTCCCATCATAAATAATCAGCAAAGAGCTGGAGTAAAAGCGGTAGGATTCCTGCTTCTCTAAGACTGATTTTAATTCAGTTAGTTTCTTTAGAACAGATTCAAAGAGTTCTCGTCGCAGATATTTGCCATTATGAAAAAACTGGTAAAGTGCTTCTTTAAATCCTTGGACTGAAAGTTTTCTCCCATGATATTTATTCATAAACATTAAGTGGCCAGAATCTGGCTGATAAACCTGAAAGAAAAAAGTAAGAAAAGGATCTGTTAGCACTAAATAGAGTGGTACTGTATTTACTGAAATAAAGCACAGAGATAAAATGATACAATATTAACTGCTTTATTTGCAAGCTATTCTGCCATAGCTGAAGTAAAGTGGAGATTAACCCACTTGCTATCAATTCTCCAATGCATTTCTTCCCCTGCAAAGTAATTTTTTTCAGAATTACACTGTTTAAAAATAAGATATAACTAAATAATTTATGAAGGATTATAAATATGTTTGCCCAGTGTTTTGAAAATCAAGTCCCAGCATGTATAATGTCACTCCATAACTCAGTCCATAAATAGAAGTATCACGCCTGTGCTTGTTAACTCTGTTGGCAAAGTTACTGGCACTTAAGTACCACTGCTTAGCATACTCGGTGGCCTATCCATGAAGGAGAAAAATAGTATTTAAAATTATAATCACACGGTGGTCTGTATCACACCTAAAAAAATACACAGGATAAATCTATAGTTTGAAAGAATTGACCAGAATGCAACAATTTCTACTATTTTATTACAGTGAAGCCAGACTAGCCAGCCCATATAGATCAAAACATAACACGTCTTGACTCTTGCATCATACTATCTATTCACTGTAATTTCATACAATATGGCAAGGTGCATTTTGCAACACAGCTAGCTGCATCGTCTCAGGAAAGAAGACGAAATAGTTCCATCATCTCTCTATGCAGGAACATATATGAAAGAAACAACAATGTCTCTACAATCACAAAAATGAATCGAAAAGTATACTATTTCACAAAAATGTTCTTTAAAATTCTAGTTCAATTATTGATGCAAATTGGGCTAAGTCCCTATCCAGATGATTACAGTCATATTCTGGAGCTTTCTTGAGCAAGATGAAGAAAGTATCCACTAGAAAATTATGAAGAGGAGGGATTATAAAACTGTGTAGAAAAAAATATAACTGAATTACTATGCAGTTAGGATTCAAGGCAGAACTATTTTCAGATTGCCCAGAAATATTAATTCATACTCCCCTTCATTCAACTCTTTCATGCCAGCTGTAACAAAAGCTCATGTTCCTCAAACAAAACATGTAATGAACTAAGGGGTGAGGG